TTTCGTTCCAAAAAAAAAAAAAAAAAAAAAAAAACAATAATTAGCATTATTTTTAAAAGTTTAATAAGATCGCGAACGTACGAACCGATTAATTTATCTTCAACAATTTTCTATATCGAAAAGTGAAAGAAAAAGAGAGAGAGCGAGATAGAAGACTTAACGGTATTCCAAGAGTTACTTATCATCGAAGAATAAGAAGTCGTTGAGTTTTCTTGAAAACGTAGACAATGTAGGTCACGAAGAGATACATACGTACAATACGTATACATACATATGTACGTCCGAAAAAGCCTTTGAGAGTCTCAACTTCACGGTACTCTAAAACACTTGGCACCGACCGTATCACCCTTCTTACCTTTCTTCATTCCAACCCTTATATTCACCCTCTCTATATATTTGCCTCTTTTACTCTCTAACATGAGTATACATATACACGTCTCACAGATTTTTCTTTCTATCATTTTTACACACACACACACATCATAAGTACACATTTTTAATATTCTTTTTTTTTCTCTCTCTCTCTCTCTTTTACTCATAGAAATATCAAATATCTTAATTTTCTTTTTTCCTTCTATCTCTCTCCCTTTCACATACATACATATACATTTATATATATATATATATATATTTTTATAAGTATATCTGTATCTTTCTCAGATAGAATTCTTATATAAATATCTTATGTTTTTTGTTCTATTTCTATAATTCTCAGGTATTTGCATTAATCTTACATTTTTTTTACATATTTTCTTTCTCTCTCTCTCTCTCTCTCTTTTTGTTTCGATCTCATATATAAATCTTGCTTTTCCATTCTTTTCCTCTCATAAATATATACAACTCTTTTATTTTTCACGCGCTCTTTCTCTCACTCTCTCTCTCTCTCTCTCTCATTCTTTCTTCTTTCCTTTCGTTCTTACATAGATACACAAATTTTGCATTTTTCACGCACCCTCCTTCCCTCTATTTCTCATTCATGTTATCTTTCTTATTCTTTCACACAAATTTCTAGGTATATGCTTACATACACATTTCTATAGTTTTCTTTTTCATTCCAATGCTTTATACCACCTTCCTTCCTATGCTTTACCTGGCTCGCCGGTACACTGTGTCAGTTGCAACTGCGCAATGTCCGAAAACTAGCCGGAGGAGCACACCCTTCCGCAGCTACAGTTCGCAAAACGATCCCGTCAGATCATGATCATACATTTCGGTTAAAATTATCATTATTAAATAGCTTTTTACAACAACGAAAACTACGACAACGTACAACAACGATCGTTAGAAATGCATTATCTGAAGTTATATTAACAAATGAACAAATATATACGTTTATATAAGTGTGTATATAGGCTTACATATGGAACACGTTTCACCAGTAGAAACGCGGGCTCTTTAATTAGCGTATCGCAAAATGAAAGAGTTGAGACACGTGATCGATAACGATACACGTGAGTCTTCTTTTGAAAATTAATTGTTAGTAAAGGTACGTAAAAAAAAAAAAAAAAAGAAAAAGATATTAGAGAAAAAATAACGAGAGATTAATCTGTTGATTGGATTTCATTGCTATTACATCTATTATTATATTTCTTTTCTTATATTTCTATTTTATATATAAATTTTTTATATTTATATATAGATATACAAATATTATAAATATATAAAAATATATATATATAAATTATAAATGTGCTTAATAATTCGACTATATTTTTATACATAAGAACTACATTTTCAATCAACTTTTAATCAATCATGGTTGATAAACTCATGTGTACACAAACCTCTACATATATGCATTTCTATATAAAATAAATTTATAAGTACGTTGTATAATAAAGATCGATCGATTATTATCGGTACACGTGTTTACGTTTATCTTTAATAGGGTTTTGCTCGCCTTTGTGGGAAAAAATTCCTTTCGATTACAAAAAAAGTAAAAAAGAAAACGAAAAGAAATAAAAAAGAAAAGGAAAAAAAAAATGATAGAAAAGTTTACTTTTGTGAAAGAAATCCATTATTATATACTTCTAAGTAGTATATATATATACTTAATTACGTCCTTACGGTATCTTCGCATTTTTGTCTATTTTTCTTTTTCATTCGGCATAACGAGCACTGCCACTTAATTCCACTGTAACAGCCACTCGACAAAGATACGGGTGTCGACCTTCAGAAGGGTTGCTTTTTTTCCTGCTCGACTGCTAATCATTCGATTCGAGTAGATTATTTTCTTCTTTATTTCTCATTTTTAATTGTCTTGATCTTTTTTATTTGTTTTATTATATAAACCACTTTTATGTTAGATAAAATATTATCGGCAATTAATTTACTTATATACTCATCAAATTATCGATTGGACAATTACAATAATTATTACAATAAACAATAGTTTTATTTAAATGAGATATAAAATATTTAACTTCGTAATAAAATAAAAAAAAGAAATAAGTTCGACAAAATGGAAAAACATCAGTTTCGATTTGAATAGTGGTAATATAATAGTAACACTTTGTCTAGTTTTACAAGTATAGGTTTCCTCTTTCCTTTAAACAACACGCTTCTGCGAGTTTCTAATTAATCGATACTCGGAACATTATTAATTTCCAGGTAAATTATGATACACGTGTCGGAAGAAAACGCGCACCGATACGAACGTGTAAAGCGCAAGGGTACCGCCTTCCTAACGAACCTCTTTAAGTCAAGAAAACTCAACTTAGGGATGAAGATCAACGAGGACGAAGAAATGGAACGTTCTCCTAGGATCGAGTCACCTGGTATGTTTCCAAGGATTTATATATACCACGTGGTCCACGTAAAAAGTTACAAAAAAAAAAAAAGAAAAAAAAAGTAAAACATCGAATAATTTCTTAATTAAAAAAAAGTATATGTAATTTACACTTATATATTATTTGTTTTTATTGACATTATAATTAGAGAGGAATACTTTGAAAAAAAAAATATATATATATATATATATATATATATATATT